TTTGGCTCAGGGCGTGATCCTGGAGTCCCAGGATCAAGTCCCACATCGCGCTCCCTGAATGGAGCCTGCTTCTCCCTCCGCCTGTGTCTCTGCCTCTAGATCTCTCTGTGTCTCTCATGAATAAATAAAATCTTTAAAAAAAAAAAAAAAAAACTACTTTAAAAACCCAAGCTTGACACATCACTCCCAGCCCTCCATGCTATGAACCAAAACTGCAGACTGCCCAAACCAAGGGACGTCACATTTTTCTAAGGAAGCCGAGTGGGCCTTGGCCTTCAGGCAAGCTGTCCTGGACGCAGCCCGGCTCTCCAGCAAGGGAAGAAGGCGATGCGCGAATGTTCTTAGGAATTCTGAGACCTCGGTGGTCATAAGCCAAAAACATGAAGTGAATTATTTTTCTGTCTCAAGTTCAGGAATATTTTTCCTTGCCAAAACCAAAGTTGGGGGGGGGGCAGTGCTGTGCAGGCTGTTCTTTCCTCATACCTGGCAGGAAGCAGCTGGCTGCTTTGCAGCCCTGAACTTGGACAGTTTGAAAGACATTCCCCAGGCCCGACTCCATCCTCCCCACCCACGTGCCCAACCCCGCAGCGGCTTCCAGCGTGCGGAGCGCCCCCCCCCCCCCGCCCGCGGGAACAGCTGGAGACGAGGCTGCGCACGCGGGCTTCCCGCTGGATGCACTGCTCACCCGGAGCCCCCCGGCCCGCCCGCGCCCCTGACCACCTGGGGGCCGCTTCCCCGGAGCCAGGCTCAGCACCCCCAACTCTGGCACGTCTGGAGGGGCTCCCCGGCCTTCGGAGTCTTCCCGGGGGCGGAACGTGGACCTTCGCGTCCCGCTCAGGGAGCTGGGATGGCTCCGACACCCGAAGCGCTCCGCCAACTCCGCGCCCTGGGCTGAGCCTCCCGGGGCGGGGCCGCCACGCGTCCCGCCAGGAGCTCGGCCTGGGCCTGCCTCGGCCTCTGCTCACGTCCCACGTCCGCGCCTCCTACCGACTAACCGCGGCCCCCGCCGCCCTCCCCCCCCAGCGCTGCCGACAGTCTACGCGGTTCCCGGGAACCCCCCCCCCCCCCGCAAGGGCCAAGGGGCGCGGCAGGGCAGGGGAGGTCAGCGTCCCAGCCTGCCGGTGACTGGGAATCGGCCCGGCCCACTGGGAGCCGAGACAGGCGGTCTTCCCACGTCGCCGTCCCCCTCACGTGCAAAAAAGAATAAAACAGGAGGACGGAGATGGAGATGCGCCCGCTGCGCTGCCCAGCGGGGCTGCAGGAACCAAGAGGGCAGGGGCCGCAGGAGCTGCAGGGAGCGCAGGAGCTGCAGGGGCCGCAGGAGCCAGAGGGGCTCAGGGGCCACAGGGACACAAGGGCCGCAGGGCACTCAAGGCGCGCCTCCTCCAAACCGCGATGCGGACAAAAGTCAACACACCTTAGATTTCAAGATTTAAAAAAAAAAAAAAAAAAGGACCTCTCAAAGATTCTGCTTACACTGGTTGCACGTTGAAATGGTCGTGGAGAGACACGGGGTTGGATCCAATCTGCTACCAAGTCCGCGTCGCGCGTCCCTTCCGAATGCGGCACCGGAGAATGCCCAAGGTCAAACGGGGCGGCCGCCGCCGCGTTCGGGGGCGCACAGCTGTGGATCCTTCCCCTCCCGCGCAGCCGGCTCCCAACTGCCCTCAGGAGTCTCAAGGTCACATTGCACAGTCCTGTCCGCCGGACCATTCGGGGGCAGTTTTGCCACACGTGCTCAACCCGTACATCGCAAGTATTTCCGTGGCACCGCAGCCTTCTGGAAGAGAAGGCGGCGCACGCCCCTCGGCCGGTCGCCCGGCCCCGCAGGCGCCCCGATGGCTGCAGCCGGTGGCCGCGCCCCTCCCGCGGCCTGAGACCCCCCGGCGATGACCGGCGGTCAAGGACATGCCATCCTCCCCGCAGGGGCGGAGGAGCCCAGCAGTGACATGCCTGCACTTAATTTTGACCCTGAGAGCAGAAGAGCTCAACAGAGGTTTTCCAAACCCCCGTGGGGTCGGATCCTCACTCGGATGACCGCTCACATCCAGGCCGCGATTTGCCCCCCGGGGCACAGGGAGCCTCCAAAGAGCACTGCTTTGGGGACAGAAGGACCTCAAACTGCCACGTGACCCTGTGTCCTGCCACCCCGGTGCCTTGTCTTAGGCCAGCCCACCGCTTGGTTTGCTCCTGGAGCCCCAGCACCTCGGGTGGCGCAGAGCACGGGGGGGGGGGGGGGGGGGGGCAGGTGCAGAGGATGCCCCTCCGTCCCAGCAGCGGTGCTCGGCACTTTCTTAGGTTGCAAGCAAAACAGCGGTGCTCGGCACTTTCTTAGGTTGCAAGCAAATGCCTCTGGCCCCGTCCCCGGGAGGGGAGCACAGGCCAAGACCTGCTGCACCTCGCCTTCCAGGTTCCCGCCTTCCTTTCCCTGAGCCCTTTCCCTCCATCTCCCCCTCCATCTCCGCCGGCAGCCGTGGACCGGCTTGCTCTGTGACCCCGCGGTGAGGACAGAGGCAGGAGGGCCGAGCCGCCCCCCACCCCCCCCCCAAGCCTGCAGGGAGGAGTCGTGGGCCAGCAGCAGCCCAGGGGGATGGGGCTGCTCAGGTGGGTCTCATTCCCTTCCCTCCGCAACGTGAACTGAGATCCAGAGCTGAAGTGGACGGTCCTGAGCCTGGAGTTGGGCAGCGGGCGGAGGCCGGGCCGGAGCAGCACCAGGCCACGCCGCAGCGACGCGAGCAGGCGGTCTGAGAACAGCACCCGGGAGGCCGCAGAGTCGGAGAGCTGCCCTGACCCCCACACCCCACTTCCTGCAAAGCCTGAGCTCCCCGCCGCGGGCTCCACGGGATTCGCCTGCGGCACAGCGACAGTCCCTATCTAGTCCCGAGTTTCTGTCTCTGCACCTGTTACCAAATATACTTTGACCAAGATGCATTTTCCTGTGCCCTTCGCAGGCATCATGCTCCCTGCCCCGCCTCACCCACAGCTTCCTGGGACACGGACCCGCCCGCCAGAACCTGGGCAGGCGGGGGGGGGCGTCTTTCGATCCCACGTCCTCCGCACCCCTGCAAAGCAGCGCCACACAATCCTTCGCCCACCCCCATCACTTTTTTCTCAAGAAGGGTTTATTGCAGGTCGGGTACACTTGTAAGGGGCAAAAGTCTAACAACGGGAATGAACTACAGGGCCCACCAGTTTAGAAGATGAGCCAGTAAAACAAAACTACGGGTTATATACAATTATTAAAAAGGGAAGGTGGTGGGGCCAAAAAAGGAAAAAAGGAAAAACTGCCAGCAGCCTTCCAGAAGGTCAGTAACAGAGATCGTTTGCGGAGCACCCTCCCGCCCCAGTCCTGACTGTGCCTCGGCCGGGCTTCCTCCGTGTGCGCGGCCGGCTCCGGAGGCCGAGCAGGTGGCGCCGCGGGCAGGTGGCGCCGCGGGCAGGTGGCGCCGGTTCGTCCCGCTCGGCCGTGGCCGGGGCCGGGGCTTGGGCCGGGGCCGGGGGTGCGCGCGCCAAGCCTTCTTTCCATGAAAAAGCCAAAGGACAACCTCCTCCGCGTTGCCAACTACACGTGGGGAGGGCGGGGGCAGCACGGACCGTCTCGGAGCAGAGCGACCGTCCCCTGGGGTCCGCGAGCAAATAAATATCCAGTGTCGTCTTAGGCAAGCCGGCGCCCGGGCGCTCGGGCGGTCGGGCCGGAGCCGTGGGGCGGGCCTGGCCCCGGCGCGCCCTCCTCCATCACGGCCGGTCCCCGAGGTCCCCGAGGTCCCCCGAGCCCGTCGGCAGAGGAAGGGACCCCGCGGAGGGGCAGATGCGGTCTGTGTTCTTCGTAAGAAAAAAAGGATCACTCCGAGTTCGCGGGAACGCAGGAGCGATCTCGATTCACCCGAAGTGTCTCTATAAAAACGCGGCGAGTCCCAGGTCTCCGGGCGACGCCGAGCAACGTCCGCGGGCGCAGGACGCGCGGCTCCGGGAGCGGCGACTCCACGCCCCGCGGGGCCGGGGCCGGGGCCGGGGCCGGGCCGGGCTCAGTCGCGGTGGCGGCGCCAGGTGCCCGTCCGCTGGGCGCCCGCCGGGGCGCGGGGGGGCGCGGGGGGCTCCGGGGCGGCGGGCGCGGGGGGCTGCGGCGCGGGGCGGGGGGCGCCGGGCTTGCCGCCGAAGATCTGGCCCTCCTTATCTAGAGCCGTGTTCTGCGGAGAGAGCGCGGCGTGAGGCGGCGGCCCCGCGGGCTCCACGCCGCTCCACGCGGGACTCGGAACAGAGGAGGAGAAATAACTCGCGGCCCTGCCCCAGGGCCCCCTCCCCGGCAGCCCCCCCCCGGGCACCCCGCCCCCCCCCCCCCCCCCCGCATCCCGCATCCCTTCCTGGCACCTCCTGCCCCGCTCTGCCCTCTCTCTGGCTGCTTTTGGGGCTCCTGTATCCACCACCATGTGAAATGAGGCAAACCCCCCCAGGGCACCCCTCCCTCAGCACCCCGCCCCCTTCCCCGGGCCTTCCCATCCCCTCTGCCCCTCCCCCAGCACCGCCTCCTGTTCCCCCCTCCCGGGGCCTCCCGTCCCCCTCTGCCCCCTCCCCCAGAACCCCCCCCCCCCGTCCCTCTGCCCCCTCCCCCAGAACCCCCTCCCCCGCCCCTTCTGCGCAGCTGCAGTTCCGAGCGCATCTCCCAACCAGTCTAAGAGCCCAGGGCAATCCTGGGCACCGAGCACCCCCCGTGCCAGGGGGCCTCCGGCTGCTCCCAGGCAGGTTCTTCCTCACTCTCCGTCCTATAAATAAGCAGCCCCCGCGGCTGCCCCGTCCCTGGAAGCCCGCAGGGGGACGGTGCCCCTTACCCGCTCTTAGATCCCCCATGATCTCACCTGACCTGCTCTTCCTCTCTTTCTGGGCACTTCTGTCTTGTGACACCCCCAAATTTGTGTGTGTGTGTGTTTTTTTAAGTAAGCTCATGCCCGACATGGGGCTTGAACTCATGACCCTCAGATCGAGTTGCACCATCCACCGGCTGAGCCAGCCAGGTGCCCCAATCCTAAGTTTTTAATGTGCTCAACTTCTCAAGGAGCACAGGAAGGGCCAACAGGAAGAAACCGCCTTGCTGTTCTGACCTGAGCCTGGGAGGTGAGGCTTAGTCTCCGTTTTCCCTCCTCTGACTCAGTTTCAACCTTTCGGGCCCCTCCGCTGAAACCCAACCAGCTGTCCCCTCACTGGGTTTCCAAAGGTGTTTCCAGGTCTCCGGCCCCTTTAGCTATCGGGCACGGGGGTCCGGAGGCCTTCTGTAGTCTCACTACCCTGGGGGAAGGTAAGGCGGACTCTCCTGGTGTTCTCCGAGGTCTGGGGAGGACGGGGGCACACCAGGCCTCTGGGGACGGGCCTGCGTGTGGCTGCCTGCAGGGCACCGGGGCTCAGCTGCGAAGCCACAGCTGCTTTTGTTGGGTGTTGTACATATGCATATACCACAGAATCCCTCCTGGATAGAGGAAAACACCAATTCTCCAGTTATTTCTCCTTTTCTCTTCCCGTCAAGAGACCACGGATGTGTGCAGCAGAACAAAGCATTGCAGAGCAGTTAGTACGTACCATTGCCTTGGACCTAGTCAGAGGGAAGCAATGCAGGCGGCGGGAGAGGCAGGAGAGGGAGGAGAGAAGCAGGGACAGAAACTGGACTTACTTCAAACAGAAGCAACACGGTTGAAACAGTTTTGTCTATCTTAAATTAAGCCCAAGTCATCCCCAGAACGCCCCCTGAGAGCAACGTAACCCTGGGCGGGGAGAGCGCCCGGCAGCGAGTTCCTCCCTCGTCCAGGTGGCTCCCAGCGCGCCCAAGGCGGGCATGGCCGGGACAGACCAGGAGCCCACCCTGCAACAGCGACTGTCCTGGAAGCACCCGGAGGACAAGTCAAAGGAAGCGCAAGCGCCATTCAAAAGCACGGGCCTGTCTTCACCCAGAGCCGCCTCCAGTGGGGCGCTCTCGGCCCCTCCACACCCGCCTCACTGCTAACAGTGCATCTCCGGAAGTGGCAGTTGGTTAAAAGAGAACAGAAGCCTTCAGGGAAGGACTCGTCCTACGCTGCTGTTCACAAAAAGAGGCTTTTGCACCACGTGACAACAGCGCTGAGCAGAGGACCTAGGGGCCTCCTGCCCTGCACACGCTCGCGGCCCTGGGCCGGGACGGGGGCCACGCGGCCGACTGCGAGCCTGCCCCGGGCTCGGCCTGCAGCTGCAAAGCGGGCCAGTAGGGACAGGAGCCCCGCAAGGAGAAGCAGCTAAGCGCTGGGCGCTGGTGTCGGGAGCCTGAGACAAGCACGCGGATTTAAGGGGGGCTGCGAGTGAGAAGCTGCTCTGATGAAGCACAGCATGTCCAATACCAGGATTCTGCTTCGGGATTCCCCAGAGTCTCAACTGGGTACAGAGGGAAACTCTGAAGTGCCTCTCAAACTGCCAAATCAAACTGTCGGATAAAATGCAGACAACAGCATCAACTTTACTTTCTTTCGCTGTTATTTACATTTTCCTATCCTATAATTTTCCCATGGGAACTGGGGGGTGGGGTGCGAAGGTACAGAGAACCCCGGGAGGGACCGTCCAAGGTGTGGTTCTGTCTGGAGGTCACACCACAGTGTCCCCCTGAGGATTTGGCCCCACCACACTGCTACGACTCCTTCCTCCGCTACGTGCATCTGCAGGAAACCAGATCAGCCTCACAAACTCTTCTTATGAGAACATAGGATACCGGGGAGAGTCCTTTGTGGTCATTTTTAATATAAAAAAACATTTAAAACTGTTCCCAAGGGCAGGACACACAGACACACAGTAGTGGTGAGAGCATGAGGATGACAGCACGGAAGCATCGCAAGCTGCCCCCACACAACCATGCCCCGGGCCAGGTCCCCATGGGGTGAGGGTCAGCATGATGTCCCCACGGGGGGCCGTCTTGCCACTGCTTGGGGAACAAGCCCAAAATTCACAGGCCAGCTTTCTGGCCACTGAGAACTGGGACCTCCAGAGACCAGCGTTACTGACTTCCCGTGGAGGTACTGACCGTGGTGACGCCACTCAGCGGCCGCTCAGAGCCAACGACCTGCAGCTGTGTAGGGAACGCGAGGTGAGCCGGGCCCCTGCCCACACGCTCAGGAGGACGACTGCACAGACACGTGAACTCGCACCTGCACGATCACCACTGGGATTACGAGGACAATAAAGGGGTGCTCGTTCACACCACGACCCAGCTAGAACTCGTCGGTCTGAATCTGACTACTGACCTCCTTCATCAGCAAATGGGAAAAATATCGTTTGTCAGCCCTGAGACACAGGTCCCGTCCGCGGGGCTCTACTCTACTCCTCGGGGACAGAGCCGATCCCGGGCCACGAGGAAGGGCCGATCACCCCAGAGCGTGGTGGGCACAGGCCTTGAGCCATGACTCCTGGGTGGGCGCCGAGTGCAAAGGGGACCCAGGCAATGGTGCTGAGACTCTCCTACGCCTGGGCGCGGTCCCGCAAAGGTCCTGCCTCTAGGCGATGACGCTGAACAGAGTCATGAAATTTTGATCCTAAAAAACACTCTTTAAGGTTCTTCATGCGTCAAGCGCGCCAATGTTTAACGTTTCGGTTTTTTCTGAATTTCACAGAGGCTGCCTCACGGTGGACGTGGCTGGTCTGTAACCTGCCATCCGCCCAGCAGCGCTCGCCCTCATCGGTGAATCACCTGCGAACCTTCTCGAGCTCTTGAGTCCATCAAGATGGCTCTTTTCAAAGTGTCTACACTGTCCCTCTGAGGACTCTCGGCAGAACGCTGCTAAGGCGCTAGGGCAACCACAACTCAGAGGCCTTCCCACTTCTTTGGCACAGAGCACGCCAACGTCCTGCAACGTGTCAAAGACCTGCAAGCTCAGGCTGTCTGGGGGAGGGGAGCGGGGGGAGCCTGCCTCCGGGGGGCCAGGCCTCGGGGGCCTGCCTGGGAACCGGCAGCCTCCCCAGGGGGAAAGAACGACGGACCAGCGGCCGTGTGGAGGTCGGGGGGGGGGGGGGGGGGACACAGCTCACCAGCGCGCTCCGTGTTCACAGCTTCGGGGGCGGGGAGGGTCCCCCAGCTTCTGGCTGGACCCAGAAACCTCTTAAGCAAATGCTCCTAGACTACGTGGGCCAGAGCCTAAGCCACTGCTTCCCTTCTAGCGGGTAGAAAACAAGCTGACCTTTTCCAGAGGGTGAGAGGCTTGTCCTGAGGTGAGAGAGCTGCACGGATGGCGACGGCCCGGGAGTGCCGGCGGGTTCCCAGGCGCCCTGAGGTTCCCCCAGACCCAAGGTGCTCGGGGTGGCCAGGCTCCAACGACTCGGGCACCTGTCTCCCTAGTCTGATTCTGAAGCCACCGGGGACACCGTGGCCCCGGGAGGGCAACCCCTGGGCCCGCGAGCCCTGTGGGCAGGACGGAGGTCGCGGCCGGCTGGTGGCTCTGTCTCCCGGTGCACGACGGGAGCAGCTCTGCGCCCGACTTCAGGGAGCTAACGGCACTCTGGCCGGTTTATGCTTTTTGACTTTATTTTCCCTTTGGCTAAATCTAGCTTAATGTCACCTCCCTTGCTTTCAAGAAACATTTTGAAGGAAGGAAGTTCTGAAAAACTACGGGGATCACTGTCACTGGCTTCTCATAAAATCTTTCTGACCCTGAGAAAACTAATATTTCTTTTTTACGTTTTTCTGTACTTTTAAAAGCCCCAAAACGCGGACTTTTAAAAGGAATTTGTTTAACGTTAGCTGTTTCTTATCCCAGGTCCCAGAGAATAATTCCTCCCTCACAGAGTCTGTCTGCGAAGGCTCCAGGGGCAGGGAGTCACCCCCTCGGGCTGTAAATCCGCCCGGGCTCGGGAGCCCCTCTCGGGCAGACGGTCGAGAGCAGCAGCAGCAGCAGCAGCAGCTCGGGGCGGGCGCCGGGCCCGGGAGAAGAGGCCCCCGTGGCCCTCGGCGCTGGCCTGGCTCTACCTGCACAACCCCTCCCCCAAGGACTCGAGGCCTGGGAGTCAGCCAGAGGGGGGCACCCCGTGTGCCAAGCCAATCTTGAAGCGAAAAGAAGAACATGGAAGGTGCCAGCTTCCATGCAAGGGAGGCCCTCGGCTAATCACGTCTACACAGTCAGCGTCGGCTGAGCAGTCAGGCCGGACACTGCAGCTTTCCAACAGCAGAACACAGTGCCCTCCCCTCCACTTACCATGATGACCGAGACCCCGGTGGTGGTGCTGTTCTGTTTGGGGAGCGCGTTATTAAAGTGCTGTTTGAGTTTACCTGTCACTTCCGCTTGCATATTATTCTCCTGGGAGGCATCATCCTACAGAAAAGAAAAGAATCAAATACAATGATTTCTGATCATCATGCCTACATTGTGTTTTCTGTAACAGTCACCCCCACCCGACCATCTCTTCCTAAAAGGATCCCTCTTTACCACAGGGTTAGGGGGACGGTTACCTTTTAAAAGTAATTACTGTTGTGTAGCAGCCTCAGAAAGACCTCAGGCCCTTTGCCCTGCTCCTTGAGCCTTGCTGGACTTGGCACCCATCTCCAGGACCACAAAGGAGGACACTCTTTAGACTGCTGAGACCCTTCCCCCCAAGGCACAAATCCCACAAATTTAGTACAGATCCCACCCATGGAAACATCAAAATTAACGACATTTATTATTTTAATCAAGAATTCAGTTAGTTGTTGGTCTTTATTGCTCATAGAGAAAGAGGCATCTCAGCTACTCGGTCTAAGACCCAAATCACTTGGCAGGATCCAGAGAGCCTGAACCCCGACGGCAGGATGTGTGGGATGGCAGAGACGGTGGAGGGACTCAGGGAGCCACCCTCCGCAACAAACCAGCAGAAGCCCTTGGCTAAGTACATTAACCTCACTCTCATGGAACCTCTGAGAATAAGGGGAATGCGAACTCTCCAACCAGCACCATTTAATGGATCACATTTACCCTAAACCCAGAGGCACCACCAAGCCCAAAAGAACTCAGGTCAATATCACGTGGCCTCCACCCGGCTCCAGAAGGGACGGTCTCATCCTCTGTACCCATGGCAGGAGGTCTCCTGTGACTCTCCTATGACCATGTGCCATAAAGACACAGGGATCAGGGTCTGAAATATGCTCATCTCTGGGCAAATCCTGAAAACTCTCAAAGCTCAGAAGCATAGAAGGCAAAAGGTAAAATAGCTCCTGACAGGGTATCTGGACCAACTCTTCCATTTTGCAGATGAGGAAGGTGAGGGCCATAAAGGGACGGTGACTTGCCCAGGTCACTCGCAGAGCAGGATCAAATACTCCAAGATCCTCAAGCCACCTGCTTTCTCGCCGAGAGCTATCTGCTCACTACCTGCTCAGGAGAAATAGCAGCCATTTCATCTGCTACAGAAAGTAGATGCAAAGCTCTGCGTGCACAAAAGCCACGGTGAGGAAGCAGGCTGATGGTTACGTTGCTTACAGATGTTCCTCTCTGAGAACGTGGGTACTTACTGACACCCAGGGGTGGCTCAGGATTTCTCCCGCAGTACACCGAGCTTCGACGTTTACCTGAAGCATCTGACTGATTAATTCCTGGAAAGAAAGAAAGACGACTATACAGGAGACGAAGCGGGGAATTCCAGCGTAAACAGAGACATTTGAGTTTGCACCAAGTACTTCAAAGAACCAGCCAACACAGCTGCTCGGCCATTTCAACATCAAAGCTATTATCACCTACACCCCTCTGCCTACTAGGCGGTTCCACGGACACGGCTGTTTCGTGGTGGCAGCAGCACAACAGAAGAGAAAGTCTCTCCTGGGCCTGCATTAAACCAAGATGTTCTCTCCGAGGACTTCTGGTTATTATCATCATTCCGCAGCGTAAAACCCGCAGTATTGTGCCTCTTGGCAAGTCAGTATGTCTCATTCCCACATTCTGATGAGTGTCCAATACATATTTCTTTAAAAAATGAAAGAACGAATGTTTAGGGCTCAGAGGAACGGAGGAGGGTGGCAGAGGCAGACTGGGAAGACAGCCAGTCTGGCCTTCAGAGTTTCAGAGTCTATACCGCGGAACAAACTTAAAGAAGAAACCCACATTAAAGTCCAGAGAGCTGGAGCTCACTACCAAGAGCTGCGACAGCCCCACACGACCGAGGGGGGCCCCTCAAGAGAAAGCAGCCCACGGGAAAACCCCAGATGGGTACCTTTGCTGAGTCCGTGATGTTATCCCAGTAGGGGGCTGGAAACTCCAGCTTCCCAGCCAAGATCTGGTCGAAGAGATCTTCCTGGAGATTGTTCTCACTAAGTCAGTGACAAAGAAATGGAAGGAAAAGCAAGTCACTGTGCAGGTTTTCAACAAAATACTCACGGGAAGAACGCAGTAAGGAGTCCAGTCTCTTCGGCCTGGGCGTTTCCTATCTGAATTGCACTTGTTATGACACTTTCTTTCCTTCTAGACCATGAGCTAAAGAACATTTCCATAGGCCTGGGTGTCAGGCAGAGAGAGGACACAAGACTCAAGAAGTCCGTGTAGTGGGTACAGTTTCAGCTGGGGAAGACGAAATGATTTTGGAGATGGATGGTGGTGATGGTTTCACGATACTGCGAATGTGCTTAATGCCACTAAACCTGCACATTTCAAAATGGTTAAAATGGCAAATTTTATGTATATATTTTGCCAAATAAAAAAAGGACTCAAGAAAAAAGTGGAATTCACAAATAATGTCAATTCTCATTTCAGGAAAAAACCACCTCAGCATCTGCCATCACTTAATCTCTCATGGCAATCAGAGTGGAAAGGCAGCAAATCTGAGTCCGAGCTCCTTGCTCTTGTTCTTTCTCCTTTTCCAATACAACAGCCAAGATCACCGAAACAGCCAAGATACGAAAAAGTTATAAGGAGTCCAGAACCTGAATACAATATTCACGACATAATTAGCTCCCCATTGGAACCTGACTTTTGTTTAAGCTCAATTTGAAAAAAAGAGCCCATCCAAGACCGGCAACTGGAACTGCACACGTTGAGGTGGGCATCCGTCCTCAGGCTATGCCTAACTGTGCTACCCTCAGACGTGCTCTTGCACACACGGCTGATGCCTAATGAATGAGGACTTGCCTTTTGATGTAAGGAGCATGGAAATGTACAAACACTGCTGGGAAAAATTCAGGAAGTTGGAGGTTCCCCAACGTCCCAGAAAACAGCCACAGCCCCAGAGCTACCCCACAGACACACGCCTGGTGGGCGCATCAGTGGCCCGAATGAAAACTTTTTAGGCCATTACAAAGCCTTCCTGGAAAACTCTGGATGGGCTGCCCGAGTCAAGATCAAAATCCAGGAGTGGAAGCTCCGTCTCAGCTGGCAAGTATGCTGCATCTCTCTTGGGGCTTCCCAAAGGGTGCCTATTGCTCAGCATGCTCACCCGGGGCCCCACCCGGCCTCAGGACAAAGCCCAGCCCTGCTAACTGCCCTCTCAGGGTAAGCAACTGTGGTGACTGTAGAAATCGGTCATGTAGGGCAGTGCCTACAGACTAATTCCGGGGCTGTAAGTTGACGTGACAACTCCATTCCTGTTCAGTGACAATGAGTATAGGCGAACCTCATTTTATCTCTGCTTCACTTTATTGCACTTTTCAGATATTGTGCGTGGGGTTTTTTTTTGTTGTTTTTGTTTTTGTTTTTGTTTTTTTTACAAAGTGAGGGTTTGTGGCAACCCTGCATTGGGCAAGTCTATCCGTACCACTTTCCAACAGCATTTGCTCACTTTCTGTCTCTGTGTCAAATCTGGTGACTCACCAAATGCTTCAAACTGTTTCATCATTATTCTATTAGTTACGGTGATCTGTGATCACGGACTACAACTTGCTAAAGCTCAAATGATGGCTAGCAGTTTTTAGCAATAAAGTATTTTATTTTTTTAACTTTTTATTTACTTATCCATGAGAGACACAGAGGGAGGCAGAGACACATGCAGAGGGAGAAGCAGGCTCCATGCGGGGAGCCCAATGTGGGGCTCAAACCTGGGACCCTGGAATCACGACCTGAGCTGAAGGCAGATTCTGCTCAACTGCTGAGCCACCCAGGCGCCCCTATTATTATTATTTTTTTTTAAGGAGGCTCCATACCCAGCATGGGGCTTGAACTACCAACCCCAAGATCAAGAGCTGCAATCTCTACCTCCTGAGCTAGCCAGGCACCCCTATTTTTTTTAACAAAGCATTTTTAAATTAAAGTATGTACATTGGTTTTTTTAGACATAATGCTACTGCACACTTAACACACCACAGTACAGTGTAAACAAACTTTCTATGCACTGGGAAACCAGAAAATTCAGTGTACTCGCTTTACTGTGGCATCCCCAGGGGTCTGGGACGGCACTCCCGCACCTCTGAGGCATGCCTGCAGAGCCTGGGAGCTCTGTGGATCGCCGTGACATGTCACCAAGCCCCACTGAATCAACATCTGCCAGTTCATGAAGTCTGGGCCGAGAGGCACAGTGAGCAGCAAAAGTCAGGCCAGACAACCTGGCAAGGCAAACGATCCCCACTGCTTTCCTGGAAAGTGCTTTTTCTAGGAGGGTGCACAAACTATTTCTTTCTATGTGTCTAAATGTTTTCTTTTTCACTGTTATTTCCCTACTGACTGAACTCAGCTCAGCTCTCCTTCAAAATGAGTGGAGGAGGCACGTAAGAACACACTGAGATTTCACAGACATCTTTAGAAGACTGGAGAGCCCCAGGAGACAACGTTAGAAAAAGATGTTAAAAATCACCCATTTCCAGAACTGTTCCTTTTAGCCATGCCTCTGTATTACTCATTACTTTTATTTTCTGGAATATTAAACAGCTTATATTTTGCTAATATATGTGGCTTTTGTTTTGCTAATAAACAGCTAAAAAGTTGGAAGTGGATCTGCAGCAAGTCATTTGGGTTCTTGGCAAAATATTCTGAGTCAATAAACAACAAGCCTCAGGAATTTGAAGGCGCCTTTTAGGATCCATGCTGAGAAATGCAAGCTCTTTGAGAGTTTCAGGCCACCCGTCACTAGAAGAACAGAAAGATAATCTATCCTTCTAAATAGTCACATAGTAAAAGCAACTCTGATTAAATCTATACTAGGCTTATGAACACATTTTTATTCTACAATCTGGCTGAGATGCAGGGTGCTTTTAAGTCCTAAAACAATATATAGCCCATGGATCAAAGCGCAGCAAGCTGAAAAATGTACGTTAAGAAAAACTTTGAAAACAACAGGCATTTGCGCGCACACCCTTTTCAATGCCAAGTTGTTAAAGGTCTGATGTGGTAACTTGAAATGTTGTACACTATCTCACAAATGATGTTCAAACATTTCATTTACGGAGGTAATGAGTGTATGCTTCAGAAAAACAAAATTATCAGTACAGTTATGCAAATATCACTTTATGGCAGTGGCCCCAAGAACAGAGATGCTTAGACGATAACTAACCTTGTGGTTGAAGGACCATATCTTGAATATAATAAGTCAGCAGCTTTCATAATGCAGCTTCACTGCTTCTGATTAGCCCGACTTACCTCCAGTTCCCACAAAAAAGCTGCTGTCCACTGAGCAACAAGTCATCATAGATACATGCTGTTCAATCTCAGTCTCACTTTTGTCAAAAAGTAAAACGCAAAATCAAATTTAAAAAATAAATAACCCGCAGACTGCACTGGCATGTGGGAACACTAGAGGGAGTTGTGAGCACACATTCCTCTAAACTGATCCCTGAGAACCCTTTGCCATCGGATCTCAACTTGGGTTAACCAAGGAGAGGACTCTGCTAAATCTGGCCCAGTGATTCCGTGCCATCAAAACACACTACCCCCTGCATGTGACTTGTTCCCCAAACAAGTCATCACTAAAAACACCCAAAACACAATGTGATGGTAAAATGGCCACAAATTATCCCACTCCATGAATATACCTAGTTAATCTTCTCTCACATGTACTGTAGGCTCAGCTATTTGACTTGGTTTGGACAGTGGGACATCAGCCAATAAGTGTAAGCAAGCAGAGACTTGGAAAGTGGGTTGAGCAAGGGAACTTGCCCTCTCTCTGGCTGCTTTTGGGGATCCTGTATCCACCATCATGTGAAACGAGGCTAACCCACTGAATACTGAAAGGCACTTGAACAAATCCCATCCATTTTCCCTGCTGACACTGAGCCAACTACCAGGCATGCGAGTGATGCCACACTGAACCAACAAGTCCCAATCAGCCAGCTCAGATCAGAAGAACTGCCCAGTGGGTCCACAGAATTGATTGACAGGTCTCCCCTCTAGAGTGTAGTTTATGATTCAGCAAAAGCTTACTGGTAAGTACAGTAATCCTACAGTCTGTGTAATCCACCCAAGCCATTGCCCTGATGGAAGACCATGCTGTTGCTGGCCAGGCAGAAAGAGCTTCCCAACTGCGGAAACCCAACCTGTGCTGTAAGAACAAGGTCCCACTCAAACACTCTAGCTTTCCTTTAACCTTGGTGATTTCCAGCCAAATGAGTTCCTGACTTATGTGACTCAGATGAGCATGCCTCCAGGCTCAGTTTTTTCTTCTTGATCAATATTCTAGTGATGGATATCTTTACACCATAGGCCCGTAGAGACGACTGACATCTCTCTATCTCTCTAGTGATATCAGTAAAAAGAAAACTGTTCAGCTCAATTGAAAACTGATCATTTAAAAAAGATACACCTGTCAATTTTTTCTGTATGTTTGAAAGCTTTATAATAAAATGTTGGGGGAGGAGCAGATAATTAAACCTATTGAACTTACTGACCTCATAACTACACCATAAGTATGACATCAGAGAATGTGCTTTCTTTACCATTTGATTCCTGACACTATTCTAAGTGCCTGGCATACAGGAGCTACTCAACAGTAGTTGTAAAATTAACACACACACACAGGACTAAAATGAGGAGAGAGCTCAAGAAAACTCAGGAGAAAATCATACTTGCATCATTAGATGAACTTCTACTTCCAAGTCATGCTTTTTCTCCAAAGAGGGAGATGAAACAGACCAAAAGAGGTGCTGTAGCCAAAGCCCCGTACTCCCTTCATGTACACAGTGCTGGGTACTGGGTGTGTTCTGTGTCCTACATCACACACCCTGACACCTGTGTGTGGCCACCTCTGCTCCCCTCAGGTGAGATATGCAGTTACCAAGAGGAGGTCTATTTGTTCCCAGACCTATTTATGCTGAAAGTATTTATAATTCTACTTCATTAAATATTATGTGAACAGATGAAATTAATTGTAAAAGAAAAAGTTCACGGTTTCGGAGTCTGTGAGAACTATGTTGAATGCTTTGGAAAGTGAGTTATTTAAAAAAAAAAAAAAAAAAAAACCTGCTGTCAGATTAAGTAGGAGAAATGACTATTGAGAACTGGAAAAAGGTTTGTTTACCAGAAGGATCAGATTGCTTCACAAGGATCTTTAAATCTTACCGCCCTTAAAAAAGCCTGAGAATGGAAATTGCGGACACTGGATGATGGGTGTGCTTTACAGAAAAATAAGCATAAGAAACTCAAGAGGACCATACACCGAGCAGAGGCCTTGGCCTCACACCCAAAGTGTGGTCAAGGAATATCCATTAATAGGTTGTAAACTGAGATAAAAAGTGAAAGGTATGTTTATTTAATTTTTAACTGACATTTTTATTAACCAGTTTCTGGTCCTGATTGCCAGGGCAAGAATGTCTGCTTCTTGATCAAAGGGAGAGACTTTACAATTCAAATATTGTTACTCAAAGAGCCACTGACCTTCGGAATGGTGGGAATCCACAGAGAAGTATGTATGTGATCACGCCTGCTGCCCAAATGTCCACCTTCAAGCCATAGCTGGGAACACAAAGTGGGTGGAGGGAAAAAATAAAGATATTACTCCCAGAGACCCTCCATGTTACTGGAATACTTGCCTTTGTTTGTTATAAAAAAAAAGGTTTTCTCAGTGTCAAAGCACTCATCTCACATGGAAGAATTAGCTGCCCTTTGGACAGAGGCATCTATTCTTCTCCCAACCTAACCACAATCTTGGGAACTACTGCCCTATTTCCAAGACTGGCTTTAGGACAAAACTCCAAGCCTATGGCTCCTGGACATAGAAGTGCAAAGTCACGGTACAGGTAATACTCCCCCCACCTTCCCCACCTTCCCAGGAGGCACATGAATACAGAGCAGCTGGAGCAGCAAAACATACCTTTTTCAACTATTAACCAAAGCCACCAGGAGTCTTACCCAGTTTCAGCAATTATTTCTGGAGCCACGTAGGTTGGTGTGCCACAGACTGTATATAAAGGGCCTTCCACCACTGTGGCCAGCCCAAAGTCTCCCAGTTTCAAGGACTTGGTTCCATCGGGGTATTCACACACCTGGAACAGAAACCAGCCAATAATCAGCAGTAGTTTCTTTTCTCAACGATTTCAAAAGGGCTCTTGGAATGAAGTAGTAAAGACATAGATACACGTATCAATCGGCTAAAAAAAAATCTCTCCCTGTGATAGTAACACCATGATTTATTTCTGATGCTTTAAAGCTCTAAATCATTTCTTTAGAAATTTGCATGATTGTGTGAAATGTGAATGACCGTATCTTTCATCTTTGTTTTTGTTTGTTTGTTTGTTTTGAATTTTCAGAAGATTTACTTGAGAGAGGGTGCAGTGGGGAGGGGTGGAGGGAGAGGGGGAATCTGGAGTAGACTCCTCACATAGCAGTCACCAGGTCTGGGTGAGGACCACGTGAGGACGTATCTTTCATCTTTGTAAAACACTCCTTATCTAGGAGTATAATGAATACGTGTGCATGCTGACACAAGAGTCAGGGATGTAGGTAGCTGCTTACCCAGCATGGCTTGAAAGGCTTCTAAACCTGGGAGCGGGGAACTGACCTTTGTTGCACGCTTACCGTGTGTGAGTACTTGAGAGACTCGAAATGGTGTTTCTTAAGTGTCCACTAAAACACTCGCGTGTTTCATTTAGAACATAAGATCAGGACGTGTTCTTTGGGCAGTCAATGCTGAATATAAATATTTTATAAGGGAAAACATTGGAAGTTTAGAAAAAAAATAAACTTTAGGGTCAGGCAGCCTGAACCTGAAAAACCAACACTCCTCTCGTTTTTTGGTTGCATGACCTCCAAGAGTCACTCCCTGAGAGTGTTTCATCTGTGAAGTGAAAGGAGACTAGTCCCTAACCTATGGGCTGGTGTGAAGACTTGAATTAGGGTTCAGTGAATGCTCCTTTATTCCTAGAAGGACTGGCTGGTAAAATCAAATCATTATTGTATAGGAAACGGTTTCACAATGCTGGTGAAGATATGAATGCTTTTTGCTTACACGGGAAGCAATCTTCCTAGAAAACATTTCAGCAACATGTAAATTTCTTAAAAATTATTTATAACCTTTGATCTAGTAAATCTACTTCTAAGAACTAATCCTAAGGGAACAGAGATGAACCCAAAGGTTACACACAAGGCCACCAGTCTCAGAATTTATCTATGTTTTTAAAAAATTGAAGGACAGTGACTTCATAAATCATGGTACATTCCTATAATAAAATACTAGCCAGTCACTAATAAGCACATTTCAAATAAGTATTAATCCTATGGAAAACAGTCACTATATTACACAAAAAAAGAATATTCAAAATTATATATTCAGTATAATGCACCAAAATGTTTGGTTTCTTTCTAGTTGATAGTACTAAAGATTACTTTAGCTTTCTTCTTTATACCTCTCACCAGTTTCCAAAATCTTTACAATGAACATGCATTGGTTCTATAATCAGGAAAAATTAATTTTATATATAAGCAAATTTTCCTATCGGATAAAAGTCTGAAAGTTACATTTTAAATAGATGGCTTTTAGATTTCACTGCATTAATTTTAACATGCCTATTTATCTCTTGGATTTCCATTTTGAAAATGGTGGATTCCAGAGAATAATTGCAGAGATCTAACCTGTACTTACGTAATGTCTTTCTCTACTTTTACATTTTAGTTCTAAATGCTTTTCCTCATATTTTACTATGAACTGAACCAGATCCTCATCCAAACCACTCCTTACTAAAGAATGAACAATTTAGAAAATTATGTTTTTTCAAGATAAGCATGTTAATAACATCTTCCATTAGTCTGATACTTAATGAGGGGAGTGATTTATACAGACATCATGGAAAAGCATCAGAACCTCAGGGCTCCCCACCCCCGCCCCGTGATACCCAATCTGTAGAGGCATTTACAAAGTATGTCACTGAAATAATTTCTGTACCTGTGATGTCCTCATCAGTTTAAGAAGAATGTTTTTCACCTTAGTATCTTAGTAACTGCTTCCACAGTTATGTACTAAGTATGCATCCCCAGCACACATCTTTATGACTTTCAAGTTTCATGGGAGTAATGGTGAGGCTGTTGAGTTCCTCACAGATATTTATCATTCTGAGTCAGCCACAACTCAGCAGAGGCATATTCAAAGCTACTAATGATTTAGCCTAAAGCAAGAGAAACCAGGTTCTCAGTCATGCCAAGGTCTTAGGACAACTTTCCATCCATTATGTTGAATGTAAACATTAACGAGAACAATCCGATATAGAGAATTACAGTTAGAATTTATGATGCATTTACTGAAATCCAGACTTCAGAAATTCCCTAAGTAATTGCAGTGATAAGAACATTCTAAGCAACATAATCTTAAATGTCTGTATCATAAAGGCAAAAAAAAAAAAAGTTTTATTAATGTCATTATTATTTTGTTTTTACAACTTTAAAATACACTCATTAGGTACGTTTTATTGAAAAATAGTGTTTACTTTAGACATGCAATTTACAGATGCCTAGGGGTATTTGAGGGTTGTTGTCAGATACTCAGAAGTCCCCGAAGCCCCATTCCTCATATCCCCTATAAGGAATTCAGAGTCAGATGCAGGAGCATAAATAGAAAGGTACTGGACAGTTCATAATCACTGAATTATGTCTGGGCAAGTGGCACTCCTTGGCTAAACATCAAAAGAGAAGTGTCCTAAGGAGCAGACAAGCCTGAAATAATATTTTATCTGATTCATCTCTTCCCAACACTAGACACAGAGGCAAATATGTGAAAGATAATATGAGTATATTTCAAATCTTAGCTGGAGATTCTCTTCAAAGCAGGAATACGTATAAATCTACACATTTGTGACATTGCTTTAAGAGACTGACACAGATATACACACATATGGCATTGCTTTAAGAGACTAATTTTAAGAAAGGGCTGAACAAATGCATAGGGACTCCAAAGGCCTTCTGTTCTGGCAAAGTTTGCTGCATTCTCTCGCCAGTTACTGACCTCCTCACAGAACTTTAGAGATTCCAATATTTTCTCCACACATTATCTCACTGGACCTCAGAATCCCCACCCCCACCACCACCCCCAGCCGAGTGAGTAGGAAAATAACTGTTGCCTGTATTACAGATGAAGAAACTGAGGCACAGAGACTCAGGTTACTAGAAGCTACTAAGTAGGGGTGCCAACCAACACCTTTACCATCCCGCAGCACCATCCCACAACTGGTTCCAGGTCTGGGAGCCAGAGGAGGCCTGGCAGACGCGGCCTGCTGCCTGCACCCACACACAGATGCTGAGTGAATCCCAGCGATCACGACTGTGAGAACTCCAGCCCTGCGGTGTTCAAATGCCCCACCACACGCTGAGAGATGCTCTGTCAAAAGTTGCACTCAGAATGCAGAAGTTAAAAATGTGAGGAATGCAGGTCCCACATACGAAGTGAACGCTGCATGTTCTCTAAATAAAATGTCAACATAATGATTTAGAAGGGCTTCAAATATGAGAAACCAACCCTCTTCTCTCCCCAGTCCCCAGAACTCCTGGAAAAGCAGAATTTATCACTGGTCTCTTATAGTTAAGTCTGACAGGGCACCACCAGGCTGTAACTCACAGCATTAATGGCCACCCCTGTGCTCCCTGACACGGTGACCCATACATCTCTGCTGGCAGGGTTTTAAATTATGACACTGCTACCAGAGAAGGGGATGCAAATCAGATGTCTGAATGCTCTGGTGTTTAAAAATGGAATTTGTTTTTAGAGTAGGAAGAGGCTGACTGTCACTCTGTGTATTTACCTTTAGTGCCTCAACATCACCCTCATCGTCAGGCAATGCCAATCGGCTAACCAAATGTAGAATCTGCAGAGTGGTCTAGTTAAGTTTTCAATGGCAGGCACATATTTTACTTAGATATGTGCAGCTAAGGGCTTGCAAAGCCTGACCTTTTTATATCACACATTAGCCTCATCTAGACATCTTCTTTATTATCTTCTTCCTTTTCCTCCCCTTTGGGTAGCACAGTGGGGCTGCTATAGGTCTTGAAGAGGGGTGAAGATGCATCTAGGGCAGGTTAGGCTGGACGAGGGAGTTTTATCTAATTTCCTGGTCACAATCTGAGACATGTCATGTTGGAAACTCCAATCCCCATCACAGGACCTTCCTTCAATGTGTGACAAGAGAAAAGGACGCAGTAACAGGCTCTGAGATGTTACACACATTGTGAGTGGAAAAGAGGAGAAAGAGGAGGGGAGAGTGGAATCCATGAGCTGGGAAACGGACACTCCCTGGCTTATAGGCAAGTTCGCTAATGCCTCAGTCACCTTACCTTCCTCACAGGGCCTCCAATAATCAGAGCTGCAGTACAGGCTGACTCCACAGTAACCTACTATCCTTAGGGACCTGTGGCTCTATATTCCTAGAAAATGTCAATAACAACAGCCACCAGGGTGAGGTGGCCATGGGCAGCAGGAAGAAACGAAGAAGGCATTCTCTTTAATACCATGGCATTTGCGCCTGGCCACACCCAGATAAAGCCCTGTTACGTTTGCTTGGGAAGCCCCTGGCCAACTTCAGTCATGTGGTGCAGGAGCCCGGGCCTGACAGACACGGTGAGAAGACTATTTTGAGGAGAGAACATCATATCCTCACTTCTATGCTGAGGCCCAGTTTACAGTTCTGTCTCCATTCCTCCTTCGAGTTCATAAAACCAAGTCCATGATACATCTTGTTTTTACAGAGAAAGGGTATTTATTTTCCCAATAGGAAAATCTAGACAGGAAATATAATTCCTCAAGGAAGAAGACAGTAAGAAAAAAAAAAAAAACAAAACCTCACATACTTTTAAATGGATACTCAGAAATCATCAAATGGTATTACCAGAAGTAGAAAATGGACACTCTGAATTAGCAGAAAGTCCCCAGGATGGCCTAAAAGCCTAAACATCAACACATATGCCTTTCAACAATTATTTGCAGAGTACAAGTATGAGACAAACTGTAAAGATTTGTGTTCAAGGGACACCTGGGTGGCTCAGTGGTTGATCATCTGCCTTTGGCTTAGGTTGTGATCTCGAGGTCCTGGGATTGAGTCCCACATCAGGCTCCCCACAGGGAGCCTGCTATCTCCCCTTGCCTATGTCTCTCCCTCTTTCTCTGTGTCTCTCATGAATAAATAAACAAAATCTTAAAAAAAAAAAAAAAGACTTGTGTTCAAGTATTGGCTGCTGCCTAAGTGCCTGTCAATGCTCTGTCACCAACCACTTACTCCACATCCACCATGTACTTCCTTGGCCCTTGTCCAGGGCACTGGTGATATGGAAATAATTGAGACACAAACCTTGCCCTTCATGGTGCTTATCTAGAGAAGGAGTCACCCAAGTATGTGATGAACTCTCCACAGTAGGTCATGTACAGCAGCAACTAGGAGTGGCCGAGACTGACTCTGTCCAGGTAGATAGGAGTGATGTCAAAGAAGACATGCCTTTTGCTCAGTGTCTTAGAAGATAAACATTTGCCACATTGCTGGGAGAGAGGGCATTGCAAATGTAGACCAGTATGGAAATGAGCAATGATATGTAATGGTGCTGACAAAATTAAGTCTTAGCTAACGACTGGGGATGGAAAAATCTGAGTTTGGATCATTAGGATAGAGAATACTCATAGAACCCCACCTCCTATGCGGTAAATGATGACAGTACTCAGTCCTGAAAGGTAGAAATAGGAAAAAAAAAAAAAAGGTCTTGTGTATGTTCTGGGGGATGTGTGCTTGTCAAAGCCCCTAATCAGCTTCTCTGAAATTCCTCTACCATGTAGACACAAAGATTGGCCCAATTAGGAAGCTGTGTTTATTAAGGCCACCATAGAGGTGTGCTAAATATGGCACGAAGGTAAGTGCCACTGTGGACGATGGGTGGCGAAGGGTTAGACAGAGGGGAGGCTAGAAAGGCAAATTGGGACCAGATTATGAAGCCACAGACTTCCTTCTGTAGAACAATGGAACGCATGAAACTTTTCAGCAAGAAAAATTAGCTGAGTCTCAACTTCTATACCTGCAAAGCTGAGATAAATGAACTAGATTATTCCCAAAGTTCTGTCCTGCACATAAACAAACCATCGTATTCTGTCTCCTATAAGCTCCTAGTTCTATCTCTAATTTATTTTTCAGAATAAAACTTCAGAGGTTTTGCCTCAATTTTCCTTCTTACCTTTTTTTAGTACCATCAACCAAAATGTAAACAGAAACGTGTTTCCTAATGTCTGATAAACAATAAATGCAGAAATGCATATCAATTCAAGAAATTCATTAACAATTTATGGTCATTGAATTGAGTCATGGTGATTCTCTAAGTTTAAATTCTCTCAGTCCCTTATTGCAGGATTGGTACAGACTCTAAAGTGGTATTGTTTGCATGTGATCATGTCATTTTTAATGACAATTTATGCAAATTAATTGGAACAAAAAAAGCAGCGATGACATACCAAGAGGTTCTCTGGCTTGATGTCTCTGTGCACAATGCTGAGGCCATGAAGATACCTGAGAGCGTTAGCCAGGTTGAACACCATCGCACTGCCGTCCCTCTCAGTGTACTTGGTTGAAGAGGTAATTGCGTCAAAAAGATCTCCACCCTGATGGACACATAAAAGAACACAACAAAATGTCAATGGTTACAATCCTATGAAAGTAACAAAGAAGGTTCATCAGCCTAGTGTAGATGAAAAAAAAAAAATGACACAAGTGCCATGAACAATTATTATAAATAATGGAAGTTTCAAGGTAGCAAAACATTTCTCCAATTAGGTCCTCCAACAATATGATACGTATTGGGATTTGGCACCAATGAAACCTCTTGAAATCTCTGCATCCTCTTACTTTGACCAATTCCATCACCAGAAAGAGCTCAGTAGCTGTTTCCATCTCCTCAACCAGCATGATGATATTTGGATGTTTCACCCTGCGCAGGATTGACACTTCATTCTCAATCAGGTGCTCCTGTCAAAGAAAGGGTTTAGAGAGGTGGGTCAGAAACCACAGAACCCTCTGCTCTAAGTCTATATTCTGGAAGATGCCCTACTGTAGATTGGACGCCGAGGAAAGCATCTCCCTTGGCACAAAGACAAAACCAAGCCCCGGCAGAGTTTGTTTCCATAGGGACAGGACAAGTCAGTGTGACACGTCACTGTCAGTAAAAAATAGAACTGATATCCTTGAAAGGGCTCAGTGGTGCTGCCCTGGCACAGAAAACATACTGTCTTCTTGTCTCTTCATTACCTCCAACACCCTACGAGATCATGACACTGTGAAAGCTTCAGCACATGGCACTATACTTTGTGATTCAGCTGGAACCACCTTTCTCTCTCTCTCTTTCTTTTTTAAGAGAGAGGGAGAGAAAGAATGTTAAGCAAGCTCCATGCCCAGTGCAGAGCCCAACACAGGGCTCGATCTCATGAACCCAAGATCTTTACCTGAGCTACGATCAAGAGTTGGATGTTTAACTGACTGAGCCACCCAGGTGCTACTGGAACCACTTTTTAATTTGAGTATACCCTCAAATTCAAGATCAAGTATACAAGGAAATCTGCATGTGTACGGAATACAACTTGAGCATTAATTTTTTTTTTTGTCTTTAAACCATTATTAATACGAGTTTGAATTTCATGTTGAGTTTATGAGGGGAAAAAAAGTTCTTTCTCTGTGGCTGGGTATGGAAGCATTCACCAGAAGGATGTTCCTTACCATCTCGTATTTCAGAAATCAGGAAACATAGAGTACCATAGGGACTACTGTTCTCATTTTAACTCTAACCACTTCCCTGAAAATACTACCTGATTATCAATCCTGGTGAGTCATGCAGCTGGGATCAGCACTGTAGCAAAATGTTTACCCACAGCATTAAGGAATTCTTCTCAATACACCAACCATGAATCATGAACAACTACCACTCTATTTTTATTATGAGACATGAAAATATTTCAATAATTCACATTTGTTGATCCTCATTAGCTATAACAATGAATTATTTTGAATTTAGGGTATGCGCTGTAAAATTAACTAATTGCCCTCTGACATATTCTGGGTTTTCAAATACAACTTTTACATAAAACTTACCATATAAAAGATATCGCTTGCTACCTAAATATACCCATGTACACGTGTGTGTGTGTTTGTGTGTGTGTGTTCCCCTCCTATTGTCCCTTTTGCCTTTGCTATCATGAATCTCAGCACTAAATTTAGTGTTCCACTGCAGGAGCAAGAGAATTACCCTTAGGTCAAGATATCATTTAGGTTCTTCACTGATCTTCATGCATCCATGTGTGTATGTCTTTTTCCTCTAAGCTACCTCAAATAGTCTGACAATACATGAAGTATACACTATAACAAATGAATGAATAGCACCCACAGAAAATCTATGCAAGCTCTGCACATGCGGGCCATAAAATCAGAGATGAATGCACTGTGCTTGTCCAAGTGGTCACTCAGTGTTGGCAAATGACAGTGCAAATGCTAAACAGAAGTAGGAAAAGAAGAACCAACATTTACTAGGAATCTAGTCACTAGGTCAGTCTCTTTGCAAAGAAAGGACTTGTGTAATGTCTTAACACTTTATCCTTAGGATCATCTTTTGAGGGAAAATGCAACACCTAGGTTTCTGATATCCAAGCACACATTTTTTTGTACTACACTACAATATCACCTTTTAAAGAGGAATGCTTTGGTAAAAGTCAGAAATTTTCAAAGTGAAAAATAATCGCTGCAAAGCTGAGAACACCGGATTCCTTAAAAAGATAGGAACTAGGGGTAGTATTCCAGTGAGTTGTGGGGGCAAGTAGAACCACACTAGGCTTTGTGCAGGGAGGAGAATCTAAGCCCCTTAATGAGCAGGGCTGGGAAGTCTGTGCCCAGCTCGGGACTCAGCAAATGCTTCCCCATCTCCCGGAAGCATAGCGGTTCTCAGACCCAAAGAACCACGGCTGGGAGGCTGGGGACAAGGCCGCCTACCTGTTTCCAATCCCACATGTCTAAGTTACAGAGCTGCAGTGCCGAAGCAGCTGTACAGCCAACTCCTTGTGGCCACAAAGACTCTGAGCAAACACTCCTCATCTGTTCACTTATTTCGAGGCCTCTGGATCACCTGTACCAAATTTTTCCTTTATCACACCAACAAGCAGAGTTAGGTGTACTTTTGTGAACATGTAAAGGCGCGCAACTGCATTTCTTTCACTCTATCTGAAGCCAAGACAACAGGAGTCACAACCATTGTAGTAAGAGAGGCATTTTATTTTGAAGGTAAATGGATCTATCACTTCGGTTTTCCTCCCTCCTATTTCCTCTGAAGTTTCAAGAGTCTGTACATTTACCTCTATTCGGGGGCTCTATTAGTGATACTAATTGAGAGTGACATATGTAGAATAATCCCCGTCACCAGTACCCCAGGAGCTCTCTCAAATTGGAGTTAAAATAAGATGTCTACCACCTAGGGAGACGACACCTCTCAAAAGTCATCTTTTTAAATAAAGGGTTCAAGAGAAAGTCTTCTGGGAACTTTCTATATTGTGGACCTCCCCCCAGGACCACCGGCAGTGTTACATTCGAAATCCTGAGCACTGAGTAGTGCACCACTTCCTCCACCACCGCTTATCAGCTCAGCTCCTGTGCTCTCCTGGACACCGGTGAGGGCTCTGAGCGCACAGTGAACGTTTCTGTTGGAATGTGGGAGACGTTAGCCTTTGTCTCTCGACCTCTGACTGTGCCTGTAAAACTGCCTAGGAAGGAACAGTCCACTTTTTAAACTAACCATCATCAGAAGCAAAACAAAAGTAATCCATAAAAATCTTTGCGGGTGTCATCTCCGATTTCTTATGCAACCCTTGTGTCATCATATGTAAAAACACCCTCTAGATTACATTTGCCAGAAAAAAATCTCTCTCGATGCAATATGAACCTCACTTTTATCTCGAACTGCAGTGAACTTACGTTTTTCAGCCATCTACCATTATTCATGTTAAGTGATTCAGGATTCTAACTCCAAATAATTTACATATGAATCACTTCATGGCAGTGTTCCCTGGTTCTGAGTGAGAGTAAATAACAAAGAAAACTGCTAACCTGGCACAGGATACCACCTTATCTTTGGCCACGGTGATTTTTAATGTGTGTGTGTGAGAGAGATGCTTTAGGGAATAAACAACTGCCCCAAATGCAACTAATCATCTTGTCGCTACATGCCCCAGCCCCACAAAGCAGCCCTTTCCTCTGGTGCCCTCTGTCCTTCTGTCCGCTGAATGAAAATGGTTGGTTGCCCAAAGCAGACGGGGGTTCCCCCAGCCCCTCCCTCATCCTCTCATAAAGTCCATCAATCCCCAAATCCTGCTTCTCAACAGCTTCTGAATCCATCCATTCACTTCCATCCCTGTAGTCAATCTCTTGCCTGGACCTGCAGGCATTTGCACAGGTTTTCTCTGTCTGGAACCCATCCCCCCAATATGCACACTCCTTGGGGAAACTCCTATGTATTCCTCAGGTCCAGATTGGATCTCACCTCCTCTAATTAGCCTCCCCTGCTCAATCCTGACTGGGTGAGGCACCTTTCCGACTTCCCTTGGCTCCTCCTATGCTTTGTTGCAACCACTGCTCTCACCCTGTTGTCTGGAAGTTTCTGTTTACCTTGTTCTACAGCAACCAGCATAGTTAGTTCTGAAGTGTCTAAGTGAGTAAATAAACACATCATGCATCACTCTTGGCCAACAGTGGTTTTCCAGCTGGTATCCACTATGCTTAATGAGTATTGCTCCCCAGTAAGAGGGAAAAATACTCAAATCATCCCATGTGATTTCTATGGTAGATGTATGTAGCAGATTGAATAATGGCCACACAAAGATATCAAGCCCTAACCCCTGGAACTTGTAAATATTACCTTATTTGGAGAAAGGACCTTTGCAGATGTGATTAATGATTCTGCAATGAGGAGATAACTCTGAATTATCTGGGTGCCATCACAACTGTCCTCATGACTAGAGGAAGAGGGAGATTTCACAGAAAAGAGAGGAAAAATAAACACACAGAAGGGAGTGAAGACAGAGGCAGAAATTGGAGTGATGTGGCCGCAAGCCAAGGAATGCTATCAAGCCACCAGAAGCTACTCAAAGAACAGATTCTCCCCTAGAGCTGCAGGGGGAGTATGGATCTCAGACTTCCGGCCCCCAGAACTGTGAGAGAACAAATCTCTGCTGTCACAAGCCACCAAGTTCATAGGAATGTATTCCAACAGCCTCAGGAAACTAAAGCAATATACATTTGGATTTATGTCATGCATTCATCACCTACGTATACTGGGCCCAAGCACAACTGTGGGAAGAGAAGGGCAGACCACCTCAAGGCACCAGAAAGCTCAGAGCTTCATACACGACACAAATTTAATAAGTGATCATTAGAATGAACACCATTTAGAATATTAGAAGAATTCTTGCATTTACAAACCCCACAGCTTTCTCAACAGCCTCCAGAAATCTGGCCTGCCTCCCGCTGGGCAGATCCTGTGCTCATCTCCTACTCAGAGGCACCTAACACACTCTCCATCCCTGGGCCTTTGCTCAGGCCGTGTTGGCCACCTGGAAGGCTTTTCTTTCAGGGCTGCCTATTGAAATCCTAACCACTGCTGGAGTTCCAGCTCAAATGCTTGCTCTACAGCGTCTTCACTGATCACGTACTTCTCACGTGTTTCCTCCAAACTCCCATTACATTCTCTGCAGAACTGGTATTAGTTTATCTGTTAAATTACCCTATTTCTAGCACACTTTCTTGGACACACATCAAAGTTTAGGTAAATGAGTAAACTAATTTAATGATATAATTGTATATTACAGAAAAGCAAACAGAAGGCCAGAAAGGTTAACTTTTTTTTTTTTTTCTCCAGGTTCTTATTACATGAACAAATGAGTAAACTGAACTTAATAGGGAACACAGTAGACTGGCTAATGCACAGGCTACATAATCAACTAGCATAAAATTCCAATCACTGCTCTGCCTCTGTATGACTTTTGGGAAGCTATTAAATCTGGACCTCTTTTATTAATGAAACTGGTATATCTCGTTTAGCAAGTCATTAAAAGCAATGTGCAAAATATCTCCATGTCCGAGCCTGGAGAGACAATACATTTTAGTAAATGGCAGATATTATTTTCAGCATTATTAATTTTTCTGTGTACAATCCATAAAGCAGAGGTAACCAACAACACTCCAGAATAGTAGCTGATTCCAAAATGCCTCCCCCTAAATTTTGTTTTAAAAAACTCTCTATATCAATTTTTTTAAATAAAATTGAATGGGAAAAATCAACTTATTTAGAACAAATCAAGTTTTTAAATTATAATTCTGTATAGTCAAAGTGGAAACAGTTGCTCAAATAAGCAAAATGTGAGGATGGAAATAAGTAGATGATCATGAATTATAAAAACAGAATGACATTCCATAACAAGGAAAAATAGATTCAAATGTTTAAAGTGACCTAATCATTTGCCTCAGTACTTACTGTACCAGATATTTTTTTTCACATAAAGAGCTTTTTTCAACTACTGAAACAGCTGCTTAAATTTTAATCAGGTAAACAATATCCCTACCATAGCAATTTTTTCACTTTTTTGATAAAAATACTTTATTTTTTTAAACAATTCTTTTAATTTTTTATTTATTTATTTATGATAGTCGCACACACACACACACACAGAGAGAGAGAGAGAGAGAGAGAGGCGCAGAGACACATGCAGAGGGAGAAGCAGGCTCCATGCACCGGGAGCCCGATGTGGGTCTCGATCCCGGGTCTCCAGGATGGCGCCCTGGGCCAAAGGCAGGCGCAAACCGCTGCGCCACCCAGAGATCCCCGATAAAAATACTTTAATACAGTTACTTCAAGCATGGCTCTCCAAAGTATGACACATTCTGCTTAAATCCCACAACACCAGAAAAAGAAACACTTATTTACATGTGGGGAAAAGGCTTTGCAGTTAAAAATTTAATAATATTGTCCAAACAATAAGTAAAAGCACACAATTATTTAAAGAAAATTAGCTGTAGGAAAAGCTTAATTATTCAAAGAAAGGGGGCATTTTGCACAATCTCTGCTTCATTAGCTATCATGGTATGGTTAGAAAAAAAAGCTATGATAAATTTGACTTTTGCCTTTCTAAGACTTTACAATAATATTTTCTATTAAAATTTTTAAAAATTTCCTGTTAAAAATACATAATTTTATAAGTTTCCAATGAAGACTAGTTTAGGAGTTCCATAAATATAAAATCACTACTATTGCTTCAATTCTCCTAATTAATTATACATTGTGAATTCCTGTAGCATATTAATAATATTAACAGTTAATATGTGCTAAATTCTTACATGCTGGTAGTTCTCTACAGGTTTTCCATACCTTAGTTTAGTTAATCCTCACAATAACCTTGTATCTTAGATATTATTAACCACATTTTAGTGGGAGAAACAGAAACACAGAGGGGTTAAGTCACTTTTCCAAGGTAGCACAGCAAAAAGAAACAAGACTAAAATTTTATACAATCTAGCACTAGAATAGCACTGTTCAACAGAAATATAATGTGATCCACATATATAAATCTAAATTTTCTAATACACGATTAAAAATGTCAAAAGACACAGATAAAACTATTAACTTATGTAACCAAGTATATCCAAAATATTACCATTTCAACACGCAATCAAATAAAGATATTAACGAGGCACAACATTTTTTTTTTTAGTACTAAGTCTTCAAAAATCTACTGTGTATTTTACATCTGCATTTCAATTCAGACTAGTCACACGTGTTGGACAGTGAGTTCTAGAGCCTGCTTTCTTAACTGCTATGCTACCAGAAAGTAATCTAAAAAGGCCTTTGTCAGGACACCTGGAGGGCTCAGCAGTTGAGCCTTTGGCCCAGGTCATGATCCTTAAGTCCTGGGAGTCCCCACATTGGGCTCCCTGCATGGAGCCTGCTTCTCCCTCTGCCTATGTCTCTGCGTCTGCCATGAATAAATAACTAAAATCTTAAAAAAAATAAATGAGAAAAAATAAAAAGGCCTTTGTCATCCCTGCTATAGAATATTTATAGTTAACATATCAATACTCCAGTAGCATTTCACCATTTGATCTTTCCCAGCCCAGCTTAAGAATGGGAAAGAAAAAATTTCATTGAGGGAGAAAGGCAGGCAATTCCTTGTGACTGCACATCTTGTATCAGCTTTTGTTACAAACTACTTCCCAAGGTATTTGTAACATAGAAATAGGGTTTCCCTCAAGGGTAGAAGGCAGATTGTTTTTATGATCATGGTCAGGAAACCAAAGTTTTCCTCTAGGGCAAAGTTTGGACAGGTTTGCTAGCAGCCCCCTCATTGAGGGTTTACTAAGCTTAAAGATCCTCAGATGTGATATAACCCATTCTGTGTACAGCAATCAGCAGGGCTCCTCCGAATCACTTCCATGGGACTCAGAGGCCAAGAGGAACCAATGCTACCTCCTGTGCTACAGCAAATAAAGTCTTTTGTCTCTGACCCAGCAATCTTGTGTCTTCAGCCAGTGTCCATAAAGGGAGAAGGCTAAACTGTTAGTCAAAAAGTAGGGTAAGGTCTTAGACTCACGACAGTTTGTGTTGCATCTTTTGAGCACTGCTGGGTTTTGATATAGGCCTCTCCCAAAGAAGAAAACTTATATTTTCTATAGCTAGAACCAGATGAACTCAATTTACTGTTTTAAGATTAAAGTTTTTTAAAAAAATAACAAGAGAAAAATAAAAAAAACAGGTTGATAGTGTTTCCTTCATTATCATCAATGGCCTCCCCCAGGTAAGGCCTTATCAGTGCCCACTTAAATTCCTTCACCACGGTAAACATCTTACACCAAGGTTTCTCAGTTTTTTTTTTTTTTGACAGAACACTTATGTATACTGTACCTTTCCACAACATTTGGCTTTGTCTATAATCTTCAGGGCAAATTCCTTTCCAGTGGACCTATGAAAGGATCAGAGAAAGGCAATTTAAAGAAACAAATCAAAGATATAATCATTCCTTAAAAAAAAAAAAAAAAAGATATAATCATTCCTGATTTCCTCTACTAGAGGAAACTAAGGTATTCTTCTAAACATCTTTTACAATAGGAAAACAGTTCAAAGAAGTACTGGCTTCCTCTGTACATCAGCCACAATGTTGAGTGGGGTCAGGGAGAAAGGTACTCAAAAAAGAAAAAAAAAATCCAAAGACACACTGTTAACTTCCTTTTATAAATATTAATACAATACTACACAACTTGCATATTAAAAGTACTGAAACTCTGTTGTATCAAAGCTGGACAAGAAACTTTTTCCATATTTAAATCTCAAAATAGCTCTCTTCGGAGGCAGAATAAATTAAGCAAAATGAATCTAAATAATTAAAAATGTTCTATTATCAATATAACTTTACATTCATCTAATAATGATTAAAAATTCCTAGACTTTCCATATCTTTCTTAAGGTTTTATTTATTTATTCATGAGAGACACACAGTGAGAGGCAGAGATATAGGCAGAGGGGGAAGCAGGCCCCCTGCAGGGAGCCCAATGCAGGATTCAATCCCAGGACCCCAGTATCATGCCCTGAGCCAAAGGCTGATGCTCAACCAATGAGACACCCAGGTGCCCCCTCAATATCTATTTCTCAGCTAAAATTCCATCTAGTCCCATTTTACCCACACCTTTAAATGCCTATTATCTGGTAGTAAAGACATACATACTTTGACATACAAATGTGGATGTTAATTTTTAATCACCTTTAACATAATTTAATCTGAACACGCCAAAATATCTTTTAGAATAGGAGTACAGTTAAACAAAGAACACTGCAGTCAGTATTCCTGGAATACATCAGTTTTCTCAAGCGCAGCTGCTTTTGCCACATGGTCATAGCACACACTGATGAAGCTGACCTTAGAAGAATAACTTTCATTTAAATTGCTTCCCCATCATGTAAACCAAACCCTGACTCAGATTTCTAGTAAGTCTTTAGAGATCATATTTCAGATGCTTTATTTGTTACTTGGGTGGCAAACTGTACATCAGAGCTATGTCGAGAACTTAGAGGATGGGGAGTGTCCTCTACAAGGAGCAGGAAAGTTTCACTGGAGATGCAGCAAAGTGGAAAAGCTGTAGTCACAACTTTCTGGAAAGCTCCCCACAAAAAATAAAAATTACCACTTAGAAAAAAATGGGGTATTGACCTATCAACACGAAAACTCTAACCTGAGTATTTTCCAGTTTTTATATAGTTTATGAAAGGCCTCGAATTAAAAGAATGGATTTCTTACCCCTTGAGAATTCAGTACCTTCAACCAAATAAAGCTGAATAATCAAAAATATAGTTTTCATATAGGCAAAAGTTGGTTGACCCTGATCTTAATTGGTCAGAGCTCCTGTATCCTGACCTACCAGTCTACACAACTAAGTATTAACTGAGAGGGTTACTGTGCAGTTTACATGGGTTAATAATACAAGCACAGCACTGAGAACAGTGCCTGACACAGGTCAGTGCTACTGAATCTTATTCTTTCCTATTCCTCTCTGGCTCATGGATGAGACCTGAAAAGCTCTCAGCCCAACTACATACAAAGCAAGTTTATGCTCTGCGTGTATACCTATATTTTTCCAGGTCAAGTTGCCTGTGGACTTACAAAACAGCTGGTCCTAAGGATAGACTTTTTCCAGGAAGGGAGGAAAAAAACCTCCCAGGAAGGCTTTTTGTTCATTCATTCAGGTAAGAATAAACTCCAGGTGAGAAATGTAGGTAAACAAATGACCATCCTCACTATCCACTCACCTGTCCATGCACTCTTTGACTACTGCAAAATTCCCATCACCAATAACCTTCCCAATTTTGTATTTCTCAAGAAGAGTTGATGATTCAGAGCACCTGTTTCCATTCACACCTGCACAAAAGGATAAATGCAAAGTCTAGCAAACACATCAGCACTTCATCTCAATTCCTACATATCTGTAAAATAATAAATCACAATGCGTTCATTTCTAAATCTATGGTGAACCATAAGAAAATTTCTAAGCATATTTTCTAAAGGGAACACCTGAATCACCAATTTCCTTTTGATCCCGTTGTGAAATCTGAAACCAACATCATCAAACAAATCTAACAAATCCCTGAAATATCAGCTGAAACAAGTAAAAGGAAATTTAACCTAAGCTTTGTAAACTTCTTTGTTAGCTCTCGAGAAAAGGGAAGAGGATTACGGTGGGGATTCAATTTTAGAAACTCCCAAGATTTCTCCTCAGGGTTTTCTAGTAAAGAAAATTATTCCCAGCCGGGATACGTGTTAAGGCTAACTCCTGGCTGAAAATCCTCTCAAAAAGCGGATGGGGGAGAGGCAGGAGGAGGAAGTGGTTAAAATGACTATATCTTACAATGTATCCCAATGCACAGCATGTAGCAGACATCCAATGAAGAAACACACTTTTGCTACCTAATTGAGAGACAGGAAAGCCTACATGTAGGACTTGAGCAGACTGCCACTAAGGAAAAATAAAGGAAGCCCAAGCGTAAAATCTGAAATTGGGTTAGCTTAATTAAAAACAAGAAAATTTTATATATCTTGAAGCAACTCCCACCAAGGCTCAATAGGCTAACTGGTGACCATGATTACATCCCTGTTTAGGAAGATCATAATTTAGCCCAATTGGGTCTTGGGCAGCCACCAAGTTCACATGGATGACTTCCTTTATGAAAGCAATCATCAGATTGGGGACTACCTTCAGGACTCATACAACGACCAAGTTCAGGTCCACCATTTACATTGGAAGAGGATCCGCCGTGTGCAGAAACCTGCTGAAAGAGGAGAGTGACCATTATTTATCAGGAAAATTCTACATATCTTCAGCTAGCTAATCCTTAGTGAATAGAGAATGATTACATTGTTCAAATATATGTTACAAAAACATCATCTCTTCCCTATATCATTAACACACATCTTCCTTACAGCACTCTCAACTCCGATTGGGTATCAGGAAATTGACAGTTAATTGCCCTCTTTGATACTGCTCTACTTTTGACTTCAATGGAATAAAGCAAAGCAAACTATTATGGCATCACAGCTGAACAAGGTACTTCTTAGTGGCAGATAAGGTTTAGAAATATAGGTAATTCCAAGAAATGTCAGAACCGAGTCCCCAGATGCCACAGCTATCCTGGGGTGGACCTCAGGAGTGCCCGCTAAGGTGAAACCCTTCTCAGAACTCCAGGTCCATGCCTAGGACTGAATCCCCTTCCACAGCCTCCTGTGGCACTCAGATCCAGGGCACACCCCTGGCTCAACCCTCTTTATTGACCCTAACACAGAATTCCTCCTACCCATTTTAAAGACGTAACTACTAGGAACCAGAGAGAAATAAGAGAGAAAACGAAAAGACATGTTCCAACTCAATGAAGCTCAAGTTCGCAGTCTAACACAAAAATCTCTCTAATTCTTAGAATTGAAAAACTCGTATATGAATATTATTCACATCAAGTTTATTATTATGAATGCTTGGAAAATGTATGTATGCTTCTTTTTTTTTTTAATTTTTATTTATTTATGACAGTCACACAGATATAGAGAGAGGGGCAGAGACACAGGCAGAGGGAGAAGCAGGCTCCATGCACCGGGAGCCTGACGTGGGATTTGATCCCGGGTCTCCAGGATCACGCCCTGGGCCAAAGGCAGGCGCTAAACCACTGCGCCACCCAGGGATCCCTGTATGTATGCTTCTAAGTGGAATTTTTTCTTTATCTCTAAGACTCTAAGGCTTTTGAACTCAATTTTTTCTCTTTGAACTTTAATGTTCTTTCTCTCTTTTTTTAAATTATTCCTTTCAGGAGCTTCCAAGGTCAAAGGACTTACCAAATACTGAGAAGTCTCTTCAACATTTTTTTGTATTGTTGAACCTACCTGCTTGCCTCGATGCCCAAACTACCCTGGTTCCTCCGTCCCATAGTGATTGTGTCTTACTCATCACTGCATCTCCCGTATGCAGCACAGGGCCTGGCACACACAGTACTGAATTAATACTGGCTGATTAAAGGCATAAATGACGGGCCAAGCCAGGGCTCCGCCCTTCCCAAAGTGTTCACAAGTTGGAGACCCTGGCTCTACTCTCTACCCCTGGATGAAGTAAGAACCTCACAGATACTAAGTCTGGTTCCAAACCCAGGAAAGCCCAATACTTATACACATTGCTTCAAACAGAATCATCCAGAAGTTCTTCTGGAACAAGAATCGAGCCTCAAGAATAAGAGGTATTAGAAATTGCTCTGTTTTCTCAGATCCCATATGACCACCTGGTGTGGACATTAAAACCAGCAGCAGTGTGTCCTGTTAGAACGTGAGGCCAAAGAAAAGCAGTTCTGAGAGACAACAAATCAGCGTCTGTCCTGAGGTAAACATGCTCACAAGTTTTGTCTCCTTCACACTCTGACATGCAGAAAAATTGTGTAGCAACGTGGGGAGGATCCCTTTCGGGCCACCCTTAACCTGATGCCAATACCACAATGCTTCACTATCCACTGGCTCTTCAGAGTTCAATCATTATGTTTCTCACAAGGTAACTAGCAGGCAGTTTTTCAAAATTCAGCTTCTTTGTTCTATTTTTCTGCTGCTGAAATTAAAGGCAACTCCAAAATCAGCTGTAGTCTGTGCTAGAATGTTTAAAAGCTACCTTGTTTAAAACCAAAGCCCAGAGAAGGGACTTAACGGGAAGCCTAAAAGAAAGCCACAAGGTTCTCTGGTCAGTTCTGTTTCCACAGCTACCACCCTGGTCCTGGTCCTCCTTCAGCTTCTCCTGGCGCTTCATCAAAGTTTGGCCTCCTTAGTTACTTTCAATCTCAGCCATTCCACACAAGATTGCCAGGAAACTTCTCCAAGGACAGCTCTGATGTCATCCCTAGGATCCAAAGCCTTGGGGCGGGGGATGAAGTGGGGGTGGGGTGGGGGATCTTTGTGACCAATAGAATAACCCCACCCGAATAACCCCATGATTTGTCCATCTGCCCAGTTTGTTTCTCACCTTTTTTTTTTCATGAATTTTATACATTATTTCAATTTATTTTTTAAAGACTTATTTGTTTGAGAGAGAGTGTACGATCTGGGGAAAGGGGCAGAGGGAGGGGGCGGGGAGAGAGAGAGAGAATCCTAAGCAGGCTCCATGCCCAGATGTAGAGTGGAGCCCACAGTGGCGCTCCATCTCAGGACCCTGAGATCATGACCTGAGCCAAAAATCAAGAGATGGACACTTAACCGAGCCCCTCACTGACATATAACACTAACTCAGTATTAGTTTAGTTATTAGATTTTTTCCTTAAAACATCTGGCACAGGGATGCCTGGGTAGCTCAGTCAGTTAAGTGTCTGCCTTCAGTTCAGGCAATGATCTCAGGGTCCTGGGATCAAGCCCTGATTTGGGGTCCTTGCTCCAAAAGGAACCTGCTTCTCCTACCTCAGCTGGCTGCTCCCTGTTTTTGTGCTCTTGCTCTCTCTCTCTCTCTCGGTCAAATAGAATCTTAAAAAAAAAAAAAAAATCTGGCAAAGTCTTGAATCCAATGACTGAGAAATGTTTTCAAACTGTTGAATGTACAATGGCTACAAGAGATCTTTTGCTAAATCATTCATTCCAAATTTGTTCCTCTTCTAATCTAACCCTTCCTACACTGAAAACTGTCAGTCAAGGGAATAAGAGCTCCAAATTAAATTCACATCAGTCAAATTCTTAATAGAATAAGGACAAGAAGAATGCCATTTTGGAGAAAGTTCTATCTCAGAAAATAAATGCAAAGATCCCTTTTGATCACTACTCACTCCTAGCTTACAGTGATAGGGGAAGTGGATTGTAATACCTGGAAACAACTACGGATAGTGACAAGCTTGCCGGCGTGCCTACATTTCCCAGCCCAGAACAGGGCAGCCCCACACCCTCAGGCCGCAGCTGCTTGAGTCAGGGCACTGGGCAGGGACCTTCTCTCCCCCCCAACACTCCGAGCCTAGGGAAATGTCCTGTGCGCAGCCCCACTGCTGATGTCCTAAGACCCTGCCCTCCCCAGGCCTTCCTGCCTAGCTCTTTTGGAAGCAGGTAACATTCTGCTAACAAGTCCCTTTCTCGAGCTAACTAAAGTTTAGTTGGCTGCAAGCTGATGTGCTCTAACTCCAGTGCTCTCCGAGAGGGAAATCTTGGAAGGGACTAAAACGAAGGCATTTTTACCTCCATCTACACATCCACACGGTGGGGTGACTCCTCAGAGTATTTACTAATTAAGTTCCGGTGAACCACTTTAACTTTCCCAGTGTTTGTTTTGATTAAACCCCTACTCCGACCTATCCCAATTCCCTGTACAGCCCAGCAATGACAAACGCGGTTTGTGTTGGGATTCACAGGCAGCAAGGAAAGAGATCAGGAGACAGGGAGGGGTGGGAACTGGTTTCCTGGCAACTAAAAGACAGCGAGACCTGGGCTACAGTCTGAGCCCAAGGGGAGCAAGAGGCCTGTGGTAAGGCCTGAAGGAGAGGCTACTTTCACGGGTAGGTGTCACTAAAGGTATCACTAAATCACCAGCAAGTGCAGCTTTCTTAGCAAATAATGATGGCAAGAAGAACATTTTTCAAAACTCTCAAACTGAATTGTTTAAATATTGAACCTCAAGCATTCACAAAAACAAAACAAAACCAAAGACGTACATAGAGTTAACAGGAGTAACATACCTAATAATTACCCATCCAAATAACGTTCCTGGATTTGAAAAAGCTTAGAAAATGAAAATATGAAGGGGAGTCATTTCATGATAGCACAGCTGAAGAGACAGGGACGTGAGCTGACACAGACACAGCCCTCCTTTCCTCCAGCAGCAATAACCTACGCAGGGTTGCTAGAGGATATAAAGATGAGGTGATAGGATTCCTACTGGCCAGAAGTTTACAATCTCACGAGGAGACCTACGCGCATGCTTAAGACCTTTCCAAGAAACCTCCACATTCCAAGAGATGGTTTCTAAGGTTCTGGAGGGTACAAACGACTCTCAAGATCCATGAGAGGGAGCCATTTTGCTAAGGCTCGTGAGGAGGGAATCACACAGCCGGGGATTAAGCTCCCTTGACCTCCCAGGAAGGAAGCTTGGTGCTCCTAGGGTACAAGAAAAGCTGAGTATTCACCGAGATCTCTGGACAGGACCCTGGCAAATGTGAAGTGTCTATCGTGAACTATAAAGCAGAGCATTCCCAGTGCCCTGAGAGACATGCAGACAAAGAGCAATGAAAATGCAGGGGATAAAGCTAGGACTACAGAATCCTCCCTGTTTCCCAGGCACAATTTACAGATTTCCCTGACCCATGTAAGAGAATTATTCTCCTTATTGAAGCAAGGACTGAATTAGCAGGAGAGATTAAGATATGGCATTCCTGATTAAACCTGCCCCATTCCTGTTGTCAAACTAACAATTTTTATTAAAATCTCTTAAAATGCTAATGAGCATTCGTGCTTCCATCAGCAACTACGATGCTGACACAGCACAAAGAAAGCGCCTAAGATGCTGCGTGTTTTGAAGATCCTCCTCAATAAAGCATAAATGGATGGCAGCATCTGGGCCCTTTCAAGATTATCTTCCATAATTACTAACTGGTTCAAAAAGATGTGATTATGGTTGGGGGGGGTGGGAAGAGGGGAGCAAATTTCCTAATGAGGTCCTGATTGGTCAAGGAGGGAAGGTGATGGAAAAGACTGGAGGTATTGCTGCGAATGTCAGGAGACCCTGTCACCGCTGCCCTATCTACCCGCCTCTGGCAGCAGCAGCTCCATTTTTAAAAGCACC